CTTTAATCACTTTCTCCCATAAATAATTTTTCACCAAATGGAATATTATAACTACTACTTATTACCACTATTTCCAAAGTTTTTAGGGATCACTCAAGCTTTCTCTTAAGTAATTACATCAATTTCTCGTTATTTTTCCTAATCAGCTTTGTATTCTAAGAAAAAGCTTGCAATGTTATTTACATCTAATGGTAATAGAAATGTTCTATGACTTGTCGTTTCTATAGGTAACAAAATTAAGTCCATTCTTGTTTAAACAATAAAAAAATTAATGTTACACACAGGTAACACACACATAAAATTTACAGGCACGTCCCTTAAGAACCACGGAAGTGGTCCTGCCGTAAAAATTTGGCCAGTTTCCTCTTGAAACAGGGTCGATCAAACTGCACACGAATAACAATTGGTGGAATAACAATTCCAGAGTCGAGTAGCGTAAACTCTAATCGAGTCACTGTAAAACTCAGTCCTCGTCCACGGGATAACCAGATCCAGGGTATTTGCTCTCTTAGAGCCTGCAGCATCAGATGAGCGGAAAACCATCCTCTCAGATATATACCGCGGCTCACCAGATTTCAAAATGCTACAAAGCAAGCCAACACACATGTAGTCCCGACGAACACTGTAGGGCATGAGATTGAGGCGAATGTACGCGGGTGTGATGTGCTCATTTTTCTTGAGCCCATTTTTACCAACAGCTCCGATGACAAGCCAAGAAACAGGCAGACAGCATAATCGTAGTATGGGAGAACAAGCGATCTTACCAGCAGCAAACGCATTTCAGGCACGAGAGAGTCACCACACTTACGCAATCGAGAAAGAGCAGCGTAGCACTTCCTACTGGTCTCCGTAATCTGCTGCGCCATAGTCAGAGGCCCATCAAGGATAACTCCCAGNTTACAAGCAGCAAACGCATTTCAGGCACGAGAGAGTCACCACACTTACGCAATCGAGAAAGAGCAGCGTAGCACTTCCTACTAGTCTCCGTCATCTTCTGCGCCATAGTCACAGGCCCATCAAGGATAACTCCCAGGACCCTAACTGCATCACTGTACTCAATGAAATTACCACCTACCCGAACCTTCGGTGGATTAGAATGACAAATACGGCCGACAAAGCCACGGGAGCCATACCACGCAACCTGCGTCTTCCCCGAGTGAACTTCCAGGGCACAGTTAATGCCCCACTGACCAAGCGCATCAAGGTCCTCATTCATATCACCAACTAGGCGAGGCACTTCGCTATAACGTCCCTTTATGTACAGCGTAAAATCGTCTGCATATATGTGATGCCTGCAGTGTCTCAGCACAGAAGGCGCATCGTTAATGTACAACGAGAACAGAAGAGGGCCCAACACACTCCCCTGAGGGACACCCGCCCTCCGAAACAGTGGAGCCGATCTTCCGCCATCATCATCCAACACCACCTGCTGTCTACCAGAAAGGTAGGATCCAATCCATGCGCACGCTGAGTCGGAGAATCCAAGTCTCCCAAGCTTCACCAAGAGCAAGCTAGCATCATAGAGATAGATAGATAGATAGATAGATGTCTTTATTTATACTCAGGTACAAAAGATAATTACCACGCTTGTTTTGTGTGGCAAGTGTAACAACAATTTAATAATGTAAACGTAAAACAATACAAATGGTCACAAATTTTTCTGGCAAAATATCACAGTCAGGTTTCTTCGCTTATCACAGCGTGTCAACTTAATTCTAATTACATGGAATACTAGTGCGGTATGCAGTCTGTAGTGATATCTCGCAATGCAACGGCGTATGTTTTAATACAAAGATAATAATAATAATAACAATATAATACTTGTGCGCTAGACTTATCTATCAGTCAAGTTATAAAATACAATAAAAATTAAATAGTAAAGTCAAGAAAGTAAAGATAAGTAAAAATATAACAAAATCATAGCAATACACGGAGCCTGGACTCATTTGACACTCAGAGGTACACGCATATACACAACTTTCACGTCACGATTACAACAATAAAGTAGGGACGAATGCAAATAAATAGACAAATGTATATGCACATGTGTGTAGGGGACGGCACGACAACTGGAGTCAATAAAATAAAATAAATGATATGATATTAAGACAAATAAAAGTAAAAACAAAACAAAAAAAAATGTAAAACAAAAATACAATGCATATTAATCAGTCCAAGCGTGTGAGGTGCTGCTTGACTGCATGCCTGAACCTTGTTAAGCTGGGGAGGCTTCGGATCTCGAGGGGAATTGAATTCCAGAGCTTGGCTCCAGCTACGCCAAATGACTTTCGTCCCCACTCAGTTCTCGCGTATGGTACGGACAGTTCCCGCTTTTCCTCGCCCCTCACAGGTCTCCGATGGGTGTAATTCTCGAAAAGAGGTACAAGGTAGTCCGGGGCTCGCAGTCGCAGGATCTTGTACAGGACGATGCTCATAAAGTAGTCCCTGCGTGTGTCGACCCGGAGCCAGCCCAGCGCTCTCCTGTGAGGGGTGATAAGAGAGCGAGAGAGAGAGAGAGAGAGAAAGAGAGAGAGAGAGAGCAAGAGAGAGAGAGAGAGCAAGCGCGACAGCAGACGATCAATGGCTCCCTCTATCTCACTTACTTTTACAGGTATTGCCAAAATGCCTTTTTTATTTTTTTCTCAACATTTTGCGGTAGTCAAAACAAAATTAAAGATGCTTATAAATAGAAAATTTTTCACCCTACACGCTGATATTTTTGTTTTTTCTGTATATCAAACCATTAAAAGATATAATCAAAACGAACCTTAAAACACAATTTTACACAATTTTAGTATTATTAGACCATTCAAAAATAATAATTTCTATTTCTTTTAAAATACGCAAGCTCAATAATATAAAATATTCAAACGCCCTATTATAGATCAACTTTCTAATTCAGAATTTTTTTTGGTTGGAATCCATAAGTAATAAGAACAGAGATCAGATCGGCATGCTGCGTAGCACAATCAATAAGGTCCCTGACTACCAGTCCACACGATTTGGGTTTGATTCTCAGAGTCCGTAAAATTTGAAAATTTTTTTACACATAAATAATATATAATATATGTGTGTACGCATGTATATGCTATATGTACGATGCATGTATGATTTTTACTTATTATATAATCTTCTATATAGCTATAATATACGGGTAGTACACGTTACAAACGAGAGAGGGGCGGAAGTAAACGTGTAGAGAAAGAGATAGAGAGTCAAACTGGGCCGAGCCGAGCCGAGTTAAACCGGAGATCGTAACATCGCACGGGTCGCTTCACCTTGTCGGTCGAACCCCCAAGCGCGCCAATAGATGTTTCACATCAAAATTATTTAGAGGTTATGATTAGCAAAATTAATTACAAATAAAATACTTAGGCATATTTTTAATACCATTGCTCTGCTTCTGTACTTGCTTTGTTTTGTGGTAGAGCGTGTTATATCCCAGAGTTACGTACCCAGTCCGGGGGCGTCTTCTACAGACATGTGTTGGAGAGACCACATTAGCTGCCTCCATAGACGGATGTATCTAGATGATTCGGTGCAAATCTCGGAGTGAAATTTATTTCTTTAAGGAATGGAACCTCAAGCAACAATCACAGAAAGAGAGAACAGGGAAGACAAGCTGGAGCGGGCGGACTCCGATATGGAGTCACTGGTTTCTGGCTCCATTGGAGTTGGCAAGCCTGATTGGAAGGCCCAACTTATAGAGAGCGTACAATTTTCGTTCACTACTCTCGTCAAAGCAGTGTCGCAGCTGAAGGTGCTTTTTGCAAAATACATCAGCACGGCAAAGACGATTGAGGACAACCTCGGGCTGGCAACAGCTGCCATAAGCTTCATTCAGCGCCTTCAGACAAACCTCAAAAGAAAACATGATTCGCCTTTGCACTCTACAACAGCAAAGGTTAGAGGAAATGGGGGCAGGGGAAAGAAACTTTAAGTTCAAAGGAGACCCCTGAAAAATCCTCAAAAAAGGCAAGAGATCCTGGTCTAATAAATGGACGAAGTCAAAAAAAAGGAAAAGAGAATAAAGGCTAAGAAGATTAAGTCTCCAAGGAAAAAGTACATCCTTCAAATATCAGGGGTGGTGCCGAGCTTGTGTAGATCAGGTGAGGACGTGTAACCTATATTAGTTAGTTATTTTCATAGGCCATCGCTTGAAGGGTGAGCCATAAAATAGTTTTAGGGAACGGGCGGTTCTGAAGATATCCACAACGCTAGATTTTATCGTCATGGAATATGGAACTTAAGCAACGTTCAGGCGGCCCGTAAACCAAGGCATGATCATCAATCTTATGCTGGCGAAGCTTATTCAAGACTCACTGCATGAGCCTATGGCAGCTGCACCTCCTCCTGCTGACTTAAGCAAGATAACAAGTGCAGTGGAGGTAGAGGCTCCCGTAAGTGGCACTATGAGATGTGCCAAGGAATAGTGTGATGAGTGTATGTCTAGCAGGACCGCTGTACGGGACCAATGTTCATTCAGGCCTGGGCTATCGAATCACGCTAAAAAGATACACGGGTACTTTCAAAGCCTTTCTTCTTAGATAGAGTGGTCTTCTTTTGCTAGACATAATCAATAAATATCCCTCGCATTGAATTGTTGAGCGAGCGCTAGAAGATCTAAAAGCTCGTCTTTTTGGACACGGGCCAACCACCTTCCCTGTTTCTGTCATCACTTTCTTGAGTCAGTGAATAAGCCAAATGGCCCGATATAACGAGAGCTTTGAGACAACAAAATGTGCCAGACTATCTTCGAAAGACACTGGAAAGTTATCTCTAAGATCAAGTACTTCGGTACGTCACGAAGGACAGACAAAAAAAGTGGACGGCTATATCAGGTCAGTGGTCTTTCATAAGAAAAAAAAGTAGAGAGCCACCGCACAGGACGCTAGCATTGCTGAGTAGGTTATCTAAGGCAACAAGTTTTTAAAGACGAGTTAAGTCTAATGCGGACCCATACCGAACTGAGTACATAAACTTATCATCTAGGAAACACATCAACCAAAAATGCAGCGATCGAAGAACGAATAGACACGGGTGTCGATCCTTAGGAACCATAAGTCTTTTTCAGGACTTGAGAGGATTGGTACCTCTAGCAACTGTTGGCGAGCTTGCTTGTAAGTGCTGTGAGAAGCAATGATCTCTCTGATGGCTCTCATCTAGAGTCATGTTAACGAGGTTCTAGGGCAGATCATAATCTACACAGCATCGGGAAAGGGGTTTAGTAAAGATTGTATGTCTAACAAACCAAATTTATAGAATCCCACACTACCATAGTCTCCATGATTTTCAGAAACGCATATACTCTCCCTTTAAAGTCATTTTTATTATGAAAAAACGAACATCGGTTATTCACTGGCTTGGTGTGACGCAAAAAAGTTCACGAGGGTAAGATATTTGAAAAAATATTATAGCCCGTGATCTAATTTTAAGCTAGAGGTGTGCTAAATTGGTCCCCCTTAAATTGCACTTTCCTACTTTTGGCTTACATTCTTTCCATGTATTAGAGGAAGGAAAAGATATTTATTATCTTTGCGATTTTCAAAGAATATTTTTTACAACTGCATGCCAATAATAATAAAATATTATCACTACTACAAAAAACGGTAATAGTTAACGATGATTAACTGATAGTTATAAGATTGTCTTGTAATGATATTCGGCGGTTTCATCTCAAAATTACGCTTAGAAATTATAGTCACGATGATTATGGTTGCTGTGCTAACAATGGAAGTACTAGCAGTAATTATTGTAATAAAAAACAGTAAAAGTAAATAAAACTTTTAAAAATTGCCCAGTGATCGTATGTAGAAGTTCAATCTTAAGTCTACGCTTACAATTTATAGCTTTGCTGATAAAGATTTTTATGCCAGCAGTAGCAGTATGAATACTAATAATAATGATTTTAATACTTAGACAATAATTATAGTAATAACAATTATGATGATGATGATGATAAATTAATGTTAACTGAATTATTGAGAAAGGAAATAAAGAAGAAGGGCTCGTCTCTGGGTATTAATTGTTGTGGGATATGGTGTTTTGGAACCATCTGTTTTAGCCTAGGAGAGTGTCTTGAAATGAAAGCACTGAAAAAAATTTTGACGCCTCCATTCACTTGCCTTCCCGGCTAGATAGAAAAATGGATAAAAATGCATATATACGATAAATAGCGTCACCTTATTTTAAAAATATTACTTGAAACGTATAAGGACACATTGAAAGATTATGGGGCATCATTTTTTTTTAAACAGTAAGAGGTTCTAGATTTTCTTATGTAATTGCAAAAAAATTTTTCAGTATTAATGTATTAACATCTTATTAACTGTAATGTTTGCAAAAAAAGTTATGAGATATTCTAAGGCTTGCAATTTGTGGAATGCAGGATCAAAAAATTATTTATAAGAAGCTAGTGAGTCGGAAATCTTCCATATTGGGAGCTCTGGGGGCCCAACTAGCAACTTGAGTTATACGAATTTGTAAACTAGGGTTATTTGATTTCAAGATTTTAATAGTTTATCTTTTTACTGAAGAAAATGCATAAAAATAATGGGTGTTAAGAGCTCAATGCTTCAAAATATTGATATAATAATTTTAATAACATAAGGATATATTAATATTGATTTTAATCTAGTGATATTGAACAACTTAGAAATCTTGTCCGTGGAAAATAAATACTTCAGTGAGTTTTTTGTTGCAAATAAATCGAGGAAAGAATTAGTAATGGTTTTTTTTAAATGCTGGTCCAACTGATTCTTTGTAATAACATTGCTATTATCAAATTTAAGTGATATAGTTGCGTGTGCGTTTATCCAGACAATAAACAAGCTACAAGTTTTATTACTTATAATATATATGACAGCAATATTTAAATAAAATCATAATTCAGAGGGACGTTAAAATCTTAGTATTATATATTGTCTCTTTTTCACTTAAAATCAAATTTTTATAAGTAAACCAGGTTTAAAATAATTTTTATTTAGTTTTAGGAAAATTGCATACCTTTTCAGGAGATGATGTGGAATCCCATGTAACACCAGATGGTTCAAAGTACTTTTTTACATTATACTTAAGAAGTTCTGATTGCACTTGAATTCTATTATCCCATGTCAAACATTCATTCACTGAGCTGGAACTGAATTCTCGACATAATTTAGAGAAATATTGAAGTTGACGATGACATAGCAGTAAGTGTGATAAATTTTTTTGATATAACGATTCTAGAGCTTCATCCAATTCAGTTTCATCAAAATCACCAGGAGCTCGAACTCGAAAGCATAACGTACGATATGCGACTGAAATGTTTGCAAGAACTGTTTGACAGTCAACTGAAAAATAAAACATACTCATAATTATTATCAATACAACAGGTAAAATATAGTTTTCGAAAGTACTATTATGTCTATCCATTAATAGGTTATTGCTTCTAAGCCTCATGATAAAAGTATTACAAAAAAAAAGAAAGTTAGAATGTTTATACAACAATAAAGTTTACGAGAAAAAAATTAACAATGCTCTGTTTACCTGATTGTATGCTTATAAGCACGTAAGCATTTTAGTAATCAACTTATTATATTCAATATGTACAAAAACATAAAAAAAGCTCAAACTGCCGCACAATAGCATAAACGATTTTTTTTCCTCAAAAACTTTTTAGTTAAAGCTTCAATAGTATCAGAACAACCTGTTTTTTTTTTTATTTTCAGTATTTTATTCACCACAGATTTCTCTGTCCTAATCTGCTATTTAAATTTTTTTTTTATATGCCAATGTAATTTAAAAATACATACTTTATCATCCATACGTTTTTCTAATAATTGATTACACCTAAAACTTTTTAATCTTAGCATTTCTTTTAGAGATGATTATGCTCAGATGGTCGTAAGCTCGGCATTTAAGGTCAAATGAACAAATAAATAAAGCAACAATTACTAGAACTGTAGAATGATAGATGCCAATAATTAGACAAGGTATTACAGAAATTCAGGAAAATATAGTACATAGAAATTTATTTGGCTGCTAATTATAAGTGTACCGTTCAATATTAATAATTTAACATGACAATTCATACACACAAACAAAATTTTTTATTGTATTTTTTCAAGAAAATCAGGGTGTATTTATGTAAATTAGTTAGCTAGAACTAACGAAAACTGTTGAAGAAAAATATTATTAATTAACTGCGTACTAACAGCAATTAGCGTTATTACGTATGACTTTACTAGTGTGTAGATAACACGACAAAAAACCATTAAGTGTCGATGTATGCTTAAGGCTCTTATAACCCCAAAACACAGAAATTCTTACGCTTAAGGTATTTATAACTTTAAAACACTTTAAATTCCATAACGGCCCTAAACTTTCTAGGGTTTATCATTGTATTTGAAATTATAATGATTGTTAAAAATAATTAACACTGGGTTTTAAAGTTTTAAAAGCTTGAAACTAAAACTTTCGTAGTTCTGATATTCTGGGAGCTTTGATTATTAAACTTAGTTATTAAGGGATAGAAAGCTAGGGTTATGAGAGCTCATTGCATATAATTTAGAACATTTTAAAATAACAAGAGCTTTACACTGTTTACTAGAGTTTGAATCACGTTATGAACATTCACTCTTTTTCTGTTTTAGTATGAAATCGAAAATAGCTGATTGTTTGTTAAGTTACGTTCCTGCAACTAAACCTGTTTAATAAAATAGCATGCAGAAGCAAAGTTTTCTGGAATAATAACTAGATATTACTTTATAAAAAAAAAAAAAAAAAACCAAGTAGAATGTATATGTATGAAAAACGTAAAAGCAATCATAAAAAAATTATGAAGAACAATACTCCAAACGATAATTACTTTAAAATTAATATTTAAGGATTTACTAGAAACACCATATTTTATTATACAACCAAAAGATTTTATTGCAGAAAGACAGATGGACAAAAGAAAGTACAGACTCCTAGGAACCAAGTAGTTTAATCAATAATCTTATAAGTTCACGTAAAAAAACCGACGTAAATTATTGATTAGCGAATAATAAGATTGTTATATTCTTGTAAAATTGAAGTAAAAAAATAAATTTGGATGGTAAAAATAATAAGTTCTAATTATTTCTAACATCAAAGGATCAAAATTATCAAGGGTACTTTTTATAACTTTTTGTAATTTTTAACAGTGTAAGACCAATTCTCATGCTTTAAAGAAAATAGACTAAAGTTATATCTTATACGATATTTAAATATAATCGGAATTTTTTTTCGCAATGCTTGAAAAGATTTAAAGTTTTCTTTCATGTTTTTTTTAATTACGCTAAACCTGATAAAAATCAACCAGTTTTTTTCGGTTTAGTAGTCACTTTCTGGTAAGCATAAATTTTGCACTTTTATTTACAGTTAATTATGATCCACAAATATTTTACTGTAAAAATAACATAGAAAAAACCATTGCATTTGAGACAAGGTGAAAAGTTTTAATATAATAACAAGGATATAAAAAATCTATATCCAACTAATAATTTCTAAATATCATAGTTATACTTATTATGATGCTTTTAACTAAAGACAAACATATAAGACGATATGATTCATTTCTACTTCCAGCATGTTTAAGTATAACATGTATTTTTTTCACCAAGTGAATAAATCTCCTTAAAAAGAACTAAACATTTTTTAAGAACTTTGAAAAACGTTAGGCTCTTCAGCTTTAAGTCCATTACGGAGAGGTAATTTTTTTTCGACGTTATGCATACTCTTATCTCCACTACCTACGAACATATGAAGCATGGATATTTTGTGTTACCTGACTGTAGTCCAAAAAACATAGATGAAATCTTTGAATCTCCACAGGCTTTCTACTTCTGCTGCTTGTAATTAATTGCATTAAGGATAGTTTTTAGATTTTCAAATGATTCTTTCAAGTATACAGAATAAGCGATGAATAAAGTAGTGCAGTAAAACTGCTTTCAAACTCCTCTTAGATGAGTCAATAAATAATGTCCAATTTTTAAGATCGTACATTAATCATAATTTTTACATTAAGCCATTTATTTGACTGCAATAAACGTAATTATCTACTTAAAAAAAGAATTCAACTAATAATTTTTCCTGATACTTAAACCATGAGGAAGTAGTTTCAGTGGTAAGAAGATTTATTTCCTTTAGTCGTGAAAAAACCTCTAACCTAAGTATTTAGTGCAGCTCAATCGAAAAGAATTGGCTCGGAGTCAATTTTATCATTGTTTGAATAACAATCATCATCTTCAGCTGTATCATCTTTAACTTTTTGCTGCAAAATAGGAGAAGTCGGAGGTTTATCGTGAGAATAATAAGGCATTTTTTTTGTTACACTTGTAACTTTTTTATATTGTATTTTATAGCATTTTTACTACTAAAATCAAACGTTTTGATTAAGCAAAAATGACAGTCATCATCACTAAAAGGTTCATGCCAAATCATAGGTGTTTGGAAAGGCACTGGCGGCACTGTAGTTGCAGCATCATTCCAACGATTTCATGCCACAACTCATGAAGCATAAGCAACACGTGAGACCCCTGCCTTATCTTGGTAAAAAATTGGTACATTGAAGTAGATCTTGTAAGAGCTCTTAATTTTTTAATTAATATTAACCTTTTGCTTATCAAATGTAAAACGGCCATAAATGTAGCTAAATTTGTTAGGGTCATTCAAACATATACGAGATCCCATACTGAAATGAAAAAGATGTTGGGATACGGCTAAACGTAAAACTAACTAATTTTTTACAGAAGAAGAAAATACACTACAATCAGAGTAGTGAAAATAAATGACAAGGACTGATGAAGACGTGCTTACTGAAAAAATGTTCACCAGAGAGCTGGCTGTGAGAACGACTGATTCATACAGATGCAACAAATTAAGTATCTAAGCTGTTCCTGGGTTCTAGTAGTCTAGGTTACAGGATTATAGCTTTATGAACCGTAAGATTAATACTGACACGTCAAAGTTACGAATTTGAAGTTAGTTTTAAGTCACTTTGTGTCAATAAACGTTATTTGATTAAGAAAGACACGTTCTGAAAATTAAAAAAATGTGGTTCAAACAGAAAGAATGTTAAAGTGGAATGGCATAACGTCTTTGGAAAAAAACCATTTACAATGTCACATAAATCTTTATTCAACTAAATATTTTTTTGCCCTTTTTAGTTAGTATTTTTCAAAAACCTTACATAATAAAGCCATTATAATTATTGGCTAGTTTCTTCTCACTAGGCTCCTTTTATATGGCGGGTAGGGAATCACGTCTCAGATTGGAGGGGCACGAAGAATATACACCCAAAGCGGGCTAAGAAGAATTAGCACCAGTAATATATAGAAGTAAGTGACAATTATAATATTCTTCTTAGATACAGGCATTACACTAAAAATAAACTAACACAGATAAATTTACAAACCATTCCTGCTCTAGCGGTGGTGTTTCTAGCTGGTATAGGAGCTATGGTAGTGGGTTAATTTAAACGATGATGCCTAGGTAATGCAAAATAACTGTATCAGTTATGGCTGTACGTCTTGTAAATAAAGAAAACATGGTAGGCTGACTAATCTAGGTTATCGTTTGGTTTTTTTACAGAAATTCAAGTTTTATTCATATTTAAACAATCTGTTTCCTTATGCATCGCCTTTTTCCCATTTTTAGACTCATTATTCACCGCATCAATATGAGTAACAGGTTTCTCAGCATTAGTGTGATTTTCATAAATAATATTACTATATATAAAAATGTTACCTCAATATTTATCAGGCTCTTTTCTTAATTCTTTATTCTAATTGACCGTCTTAAATTAAAATTTTTAATTTCGTTATTGCCGTTTGTATTTCAAATCGCCAGTTGTATTTTTAATTTTGTTTACAGTTACATTTATTTTTACTTTGTCATTTTCTGATTTTAGACCAATACAATGTGCGCCATCTATGATGATATCAACGTGTATTGTAACTACTATTTTAAAATTTACCAGAACTTTAGAAACAACATTCTCATACCTTAAAGAAATTTTATATCTCCTTTCATATCCCATTTTAAATTTCTTTTTTCCTCCGGTAATTGTAGAAAAACTCCACTTCTATGAATTTTTAGATTTTTAAATTTTTTTTAATAGGCTTTTTTCCAAACATAATTTTAGAAGGTGTTTTATTCTTTTCAACAGTATAAGTGATAATCCTATTTTTCAAATAATATGTTATTTTAATTATTTCTCGCCAAAATTTATCATGAACCCTAATTTGTTTAATTAACATCAAGGCATATCCATAGTATCTCTGCTATATTTTTCTGCCGTTCCAATCAATTCTTGTACATAAGGTGG